ATGCGATCACACGAGTTGTTCGACACCGTTCTCACTTCTTCACGGGTCGAAAAAAACGATAAAATAATCCTGCGACGGTCCAGTGTCGCACTGTACTGTAAGGTGCAGTTCAATCGACCTTTTACCGATGGTTGGCAATTGCAGCTAAATGGAATTGTACTCGTAAATCATGCGATCGCACGAGTTTCTGGTCGGTGGTAAGCAGGAAGTAACTAAAAGCACTTTCCACCCCATTGCTTTCTTATGAAGCATCATTGTCCTACCTGAAGTTATTCTATCCGATCCTATCTATTCTATCTCATTTTAATCCCATCCCGATGGAAGGAACTCACTACCTTCTCGTGGTTTCTGTCGTGGTCTGGCACTTTTTCTAAAATGATAACAAAACAAAAAGTGTCTTTTCTATGAAATAAAGTTAAAATAGTAAATGTTGTAGTTTTCTGATATGGAAGAAATGTCACTGGCTAAGGGTGGGTTATTAACATTTACCAATAATTAGTACTAATTTCCAATAATTAATAATATACCAATAATTTGTTACAGTTTGTACATCTGCAGATTTGTGGGGAAAGAAATTGTGCTTTTACTGTATGGCAGCACAAGAAACATGTGGGTAGATAAAAGAAAGTTTTATTCGGTAGTTGGAATAATACTGGTAGTAATTATTATGTATTCATATCATTTTATTTGTTACAGATACTTTGTAAAGAAAGAAAGCGAAGGAAGCATAGAAGAAGTAACAACTGATCTGCCAAATGCGGAACAAAATTAGTGACAAGGCAAGAGGGAGTTCCCCCTCTCCTATTTGGTTACGCAATATTAGATGACGAGCGTGTTGGCGCGGTAATCAAAAAGTGGAATCTACAACGACGTAAAAAAATATTTTATTGTAAAAAATGTCACTGAATTCTACATGTGTTTCAATGGCCAGTAAATAAATATAATTTCTAACCGATTTTACTGTATGTTTATTGTATTTTAAGGGGTAACCCCAGTCTAGAATTTTGAAAAAAATCGATTTTTTTTTTTTTTTGCTTAAATGATGCTTTATTATGTATAGAATATGAGAAAAAAGTTTTAAGTGGTGGGCAGGCCGGAAACACGAATTTTTTTAAGGGGGAGACCAGTATGACGCAACCTAAATCGGTCCTATCTTTAAAAGATCGTCAGAGTTTTGTCGTTTAGGAAAAATCAAATCTTTTGATGAATTTGGTTAAAATGGACCTTTATTTAAATATTTAAAAAAAAAATCAGTACAAATAAGGGCGGTATAGTTAAAAACAAAAAAAGATAGATGGTCTACACTTCGGCGCACTTCCTCACTGTAACCAGGGTACAGATCAAACGAGTCGTCAGAAATGCATAAAATAAAATTATAAGTAAAGGAAATCGATGCTGTTTTCGGCCTAACCTCCGACCTGATTTGATTAGTCAACCCAATAGCATATAAAAATTATGAAAGTGGCAAAACACGTAATTACGCAAATTTTTCCAACATTTTATTTTTTTTCTCCAAAATTAGATTTGTTTTCTGGGATGTTTTAGGTTAGGCCGATAGCCACTGATTTGAAATACTACCACAAAAAATTTCAAGGTGATCTGAACCTCCGTTTAGGCTGTAGGCTGGTTGCAAGGTCCAAAAATGGTGTTCCGAGAAAAACAAGGTTAAAGTTAGGTTAACCCTTTGAGCTCTGAATACTTCTGGCCGAAACGGTCCGTAGGGACGGAGCGCGGCTAGCGTTACTGGGCCCGGAATACTTTTTCGCTTTCCTGGGCCGTTTTCTATTTGTTCTTCTTTCATCGATTGATTCTTCTGATTAATTGTCTGATGATAGTAAATCACTATATTCTATTTCTGATGAAAGCAAATTACTAACGAGTATTCCTGTATTAATTTTACACGAAAGTGACTGCATATTGATCAAAAAAATCGACAAACGCATATATGCGCCTTTAGTCCACGCCGATGACTTAGAGAAAACCCATTTATGCGGCCTTAGGCCACGCGGATGACTTTCGCCAAACCCATATATGCGTCCATAGAGCTCAAAGGGTTAAATCGAAATACCGAAATTTGGAACCTTCCAACCCTAAAATTTGGAAGCTCAGTTGTGATACTGGTTCAGACAAGTCTAGCGACGGGAGTTTTTCGAATTTTTAAACCCGGTTTTCGGCATTATACGCAGGAAAGAAGGGAGAATTTTTTAAGATGATAAAAAAAATCGATTTTTTTAAGGTGTCGTACTTGTCTCGCCCCTTAAGTGGACAGCAACCACTCTTTGGTTGTCTCGGCGTAACTTGCGAATACGCGCACAATAATCGGCGTAGAGAACAGTACCTGGGTAAAGGCAAAATGCCTAATTCAGCTAGCTTAATAAACAACGATCCCCAATTTGAAAGAATAGTCAAAGTTTCTTGAAGGAAAGGGAAATTTGTCAGGAAAACTCATTGATAAGTTGAGTATTTATTACGGTTGACACCATGAATCCGTCGAAAAAATATCTGTTTGCATATTCAAAGATGGACTATTTACTATAATGGAACTAATAAACTGTCGGAGAAAATTGTTACAATTTTTGCCTACAAGCCGACGCCCGATGCATAGAGTTTTCAGAACGATTTTTGAATGAAGCTTCAAAAATGTCGAGATTGAATCTTAGATCCAATAAGAAGGAAAAGGATAACAAATTTCTTATGCTGAATGGCAATCACAACTTTAAACGCGTTTTTCTCGAAATCACTTTATTTGAACTGGCCGGACAAATAACTCGAAAAGTTTTTAACTAATCGATTTAAAATTTCGTGGAGAGGTGCAAAATAATATAACGCAGTGAGCATCGTACGGATTTTTTGATTAATTAACTACTTAACTTTTTATTAACAATTTAATGCTGAATTTTCTGTCGTTTTTCGAAACGTTTTATTCATATCTACACTTAATTAACAATTATTAATATTTTTTTAATTTCCGTACGATGTTCCATAGATTTTGGTACATAATATGAGAAAATTTTTGATTTTTTAACTTAGGACCATGCATTAATGAAAAAACAGTCCGGCTATGAAGTCCTTACAAAGAAATAGTGTTGTTGCTTGCTAGCACCTACAGCCGCCATTTTTAGTGCAAATTGTTTATAAAAATTTACCAACCATCTTCAAAACACATCTAATAAAGCCTTTTTTATTCTGACCTTATAACTTGTACGGTTATTATCTTTTTTATTCTGACCTTATCTTGTACGGTTATTACTTTAAAAATTCCCGAAGATCACATTTTTTTCTGACTTCTAGAGTGGCGTTATCCCTTAACAAGAATTAAATGTTCATAGTTCCCTACATTGCCCGAAACGATTATTTACAGTAAATATTCGATGTTATGAATATCTCAGGTCTGAACTTTCATTCATATTGTATAAGCACTGCGTTGATTGACGTTTTACCGAACATAGAAAAGGACAGCGAACGGAACCGAATATAAACAAAACAGTATCGAATCGATGGGACAATTCTAATGCAAGAATAAAACTTTCTTATTTTTGTCTTTTTTTACATGAAACTTTCATCAACGTATCTGCGATATTTTTTGTTATTATAATGAAATTAAACATGACACAATTCGAGACATTTACTTGTAATTCCAAGCATTCCGATTATACCGAATACATTGCTTTAATAAGTTATTACAAGTAATTATGCCCCGAATTACGTCATGTTTGGTATTATTTTAATCACAAAAATGTTACAGATGTGTGGGTGAATGTTCTATGTCAAAAAAGACAAAAATAAGAAAGTTTTACATTTGCATTGGTATTGTCTGATGGATACATACGGATCAGTTACACGTAATATGTACTTCTTGGCGATCGAGTTTCTGGTTTTCCGACAAGTCTTCCTCCTAGTGGCGGGGATAATTTTTTATTATTACCCTTTTTCCTCAGTATTACTCTTTTTTCCTCAAAAAACTTTTCCTTATGACTGGGAAAGCGCCCTGATATACAAACTGTACATTTTTTAACAATACAGAGGATTGAAAAAACAGCGAGATAAAATTAAATTAAAAAATAATGGAATATGATATGGGTATTAAACGAATATATAAAATTATTAGTATAGATACTGAATAATAGAATTGAACACTTATACCTTTTAAATAAACTTTATATATTTATAATTAAGAAAGACTTAGAAAGAACCACTTAAATAACTTGATATATTATATCCGTGTGCAATGCAGAAAATTCACGAAGGAAACAAGAACGAAAAAGAATATAAGAATTATTTTGTTTAACATTTGCGAATCTAAATTGAAGCGAGTGGCATCATATAAATAATCGATGATCTAACATTCATAATTATCGACGTCTTATTACCGACATCGGCATATGTTATCGAGTTCTTAATAGATTTATTTTTGCCACTTTAATATGGAAATTCAACACGCCCCCTCAAAAATAAATTTGGTATACTTAACAAAGCTGGTATAACTAAATTAATCTCTTTATTAAATAAGACAGTCCTTCCTCGTCTTACTAAAAAAGTATAAAATTAGAAACTGAAAAAAAATATAGGATATATATATGTATCTATGTATATGTGGTAATAGGATTTTAGGGGTTAGTGTCGTCTTTTAGGTTTTTTTCTTTTTTCTTATACTTTATTTTCAGTTTCTTTTATTTTCGTTTGATAATGAATTATATTTTTGAGTTCCCTTTTTTTCTTCATCCCCAAAATTTTGTTTTTCTGTTTTATTTTTTTGCTCTACTTTTTTCTGTGTGCCGGCCACTTAGGTGGCGATTTAATTTCAATTATATCTTTTTGTTTTCCGTTTTTTCGTTTATATGTTTTTTTTGGGTTGTATCGTGTTTGCTATGTTGTTACCTCGCAACACTATTCTCACCTTTTGATTTTTCATTTTGCATTGGAGCTTTTCGGTTTTGTTTTGTTCTACTTACCGCCTCTCACTCCGTTCCGTTGCGGGGGACAGATTTTTCTGTTCAGAGAACGAGAGAGAGAGTGTGCCCCCGCGCCGCGAAAGCCTCCCTCGCAATTGGCGAATCGATCCCGTTTCTTCAGCCGTTGCTTGTAACGCGTGGGGCCCACTCTATTTTTTTTCTGTTTTGCTTGCGTGGCCTACTTTAGGGATCCGAATAAAATCTCATTCTGTTGGATACTAACTCGCGAGTCTTTTACTCATTTTCTGTCCCCCTCTGATTCCCGCTCCCGATAGAGCAGCTGGAAGGGCGATTAACGCGGACGCGTGCATTGGCACTGGCGCCCCGTGAAAAAAAAAAATTGTCCATGGGTGTGAGTATCGGTACGTGGAGGGCTGTTCTCCCTGACCGCTCCCACCCTAGGGAACCTCTTCCGGTTTTCCCCCACCGATACGTCACAAAACAGAATTTAAACAGAATTATATAAACATATGCAAGAATTAAGAATTATAAAATTTATATTAAGTTCATTCCTTTTCTAAATTCCTGGAATTTATTTCCTGGCAACGGCTTCGTTAATATATCGGCTAATTGTTCACTTGTGGAAATGAATTCAAGTTTTATTACATTCTTTTCAACTTGTTCTCTAGAAAAATGGTATTTTATGTCAATATATTTTGATCGTTTATGACTGCTAGGATTATGTGCAATATTAATGCAACCCATGTTGTCTTCATATATTATTATTGGATCAGAAATACTTATATTAACACTAATTGCCAACGATTTTAACCAGAGTGCCTCTCTGACAGCTTCAAAAAGCTGCCAAGGATTTTAACCGAAGTGCCTCTCTGATAGCTTCAAAAAGCGCCATATATTCGGCTTCAGTAGATGAAGCAGCTACTGATGTCTGTCTTTTAGTATTCCAACAGATTGTACATTTTTCGTACAATTTGAATACATATCCCGTTGTGCTCCTTCGATCTGT